TATCAACCACTCCCTTTCTCTCTCCGGGCCATTAAAGCAACTTTAAGATAGACGTAGAGTAAGTTTGTTCATTCATTTAATTTTGGAGATGCGTAAAAGAGATGCAAAGATGAATAAAGGGATAATTCCTACTTACAATGCCTAATAGGTTAAAAAATGGAATGAAAATACTGAACTACCTTACTGTGGTCTCACTTAACTAAAACAAAACCCATTTTGTCTCACAGGGAACCGCTCTAACGAAGAAGGAACTGGCTTTCAAGTCCTGTTTTCAATAGCTCTTCTATCTGTTGTCACAGTCTGTGCACTTCAGTTCCAATGAAGCTATTATCGTGTGCTAAAAATTCAACTTCTATCCACAGCATTTCTCTGCTGCCTGGCACTGTCCTCCAGCCCTCTGAAGACACTGTATTGTTCTTTTCCAGAGACTTTGTATACCTACCTCCTTCTGGCCTTCCAGGATCCAATGTCATTTCCCCACCTTTCTTTAAGCATTAATAATGCCTCCCTCCCCATTATCTAGAGTGCATCACTCAGTCTGCCTTCTAGGGCAGATAGCTTGATATTCAACTTTGCATGTCTAAAAGTGGTTGTCACATAACAGGCACTCAATACATCCTGAGTTAATGCAACAAGCACATCAGGCAATAGCAGCATCTTCTGCTCCTCATTGCAAGAGCTTCTGAAGGTAGCAAGGCCCTACTGCAGTTTAGAACCAGGGAGAGGAAGGGCGATATGCAGTTTCCTAATTTCTCAGTGTTGAAAAAAAATTCCTAGGAAGATTTCTTTCAACTTCCCACCTACCCCGGCATTCCTTTTCTTCCCCCCATAGTGTCCTTGCAATGGCTCCAGAATGAGTTTTAATCCTTCTGTATTTTCCATTACTTGGGAGGAAGATTCAACAATTGAGAATGCCAAATTCATTTTCATTGTCCTACGTAGCAGGTGAAAACAATTAAGGATGTTCTGTAGGATCTGGTACAAACAGACATAGTCTGACCATCCTCGCTGGCCCTAGAGAAGTTGGAGGCAGGACCAGCAGCAGTGCTCACGTCTACTTCCAAGATACAGCCTTGGAAGGAGGCCTATACCAAACGTAGAGATACATCATACGACATGCATTGCTCTTGGCATGAAGCGCAAAAAAGGCGTAAAGCAATGCCACTATACAGAAGAGGGATGACTCTGGCAGTCAATGGACCTACATGCACAGTCAATAATGCAATATAAACTCTTTGTTGAGATTCTTGACAATTTGCTAAGCATTTTTGTGAGTGATTTTTGTTTGTGTGTGTGTTTTTTTTTTCAAGACAGGGTTATCAGTGTAGTCTTGACTGTTCCTGAAACTCACTCTGTAGAATAGGCTGGCCTTAAACTCACAGAGATCTGCCTGCCTCTGCCTCCCAAGTGCTAGATTCAAGGTGTCCATCACCATTGTCCAGCATGAGTGATTTTAATTAACAGTCACAGCAATTTAAGAAGTGATGGTGAAGATAAGGATGATAATAATGGTAGCCATGGTGTATATAGCCCTAGCCAAATAAGGTTATTTATAAACCTTATTTGGTTATTTATAAACCTTATTTGGCTAGGGCTATGTACTTACAGGAAATGGTTTGGAATTCAAACCCATATAAGGTAAAACCCAAGCTGTCCTCTTAACTGCCTCTGTATTGAGTGAGGTTGAGTTAGAAAGCTGGGAATTTCATAAACTTAGTAAAGCAACTGGCAAGATGAAGAACTAATCACATGGCATTACAGCTACACAAATGTGCATTTAGAGTGGAGAGAAACATACTAGAGAAACTTCTGCAATATTTTTAAGGTGATTATTTTTTTACATCCTCAGTCAAGAGCAAGAATTTGGCCTTTCTTTTATGCAAATATTAAAGTTATAACCCAAGGAACATTCAGTTGGAGACTTTACTAGAAGTACCCTAGCTACGTGCATTCCTAAACATCACAGACGGGCAAAGCGAGAGCCGAGATCGGCAAAGATGATACATCCCAGAGCAGGCATGGAGCTGTCGATGAATGTTCAACAAATGTTAGAGGGGCTTTGCATTCAAAGAAGATTGGGAGTATAAGTAGAGCTCTGAGCCACCTGCTGAGCTTCCAGAGAACACAAGCTAGAAACCCAGAGAATTTACACGAAAAACAGAAAACACTGTTCCAGAAGGAGACACAGCAAGAAACTGCTCATCAGGGTTTGCAATGAGGTCATCTAGATGCAGAAGAATACAGAAGTATGTATCTACACAATTAGCTCCAAGTCTATTTATACACCGTATACAACTGTACACATTTCAAGACATTCTATGGCAGACGTCCATAAGCTTCAGCCAGCCACTGGGTGCAGCCAGAGCACCTTGGGGCTTACAAACGTCTAGCAATGGAGAGAACATCTTTCTTCATAGTGAGGCCAGCTCTGGGAACTGCTCTGTAACTTTGCCGATGACAATCCTTCCTACTCACAGACACTATAACCTGAAGACTAAACATACAAATAAAATGTCTGCAATTCATTGTTCAAAAGTCAGAGGCCTTAGAGGATTCTGATTAACTGATGGTGTGACCTCTGAAAGATAACTAAACCCGAACACCTATCTAGTCTCTTCAACTAGACAAGGCCTATACTCTAGCACAAACAAGAAATTAATTTTAAACAAAACACTCCTAACACTTTTTATCTTTTCTTGGATATTTAAATATTTTGTGATAATGCTCTTATCCTTAAGTACCAGGAAAAGCAAAGTAACAGAGAACAAGTGTTTACACCCCATCCCCGCCTCTCTAAGAGAGAGGAACACACTGCAACATGTTAACAGACAGAGAAGAAAGCAACTGATTCATCCTCACCCTTATCCAAAACTGTACAAACTGAGTGAACAGAGGTAAATCAGAGTGAAAAATAATCTAAAGGTAATTCATACTTTCTAGAGAATACATTGAAATTCTCTGGCAATTGAATGGGTCTGACATCACCAGACTTAACATTACATTAAATTCACATACACACACACACACACACACACACACACACACACACATACACTTTCAAAAGGAATAAAAACTAATGACTTTCCTTCACCAAGCTTCCCTCGATAATTTTCTTTGACTTATAATATCTGTAGATTATGAATACAGTCAGAGACATAAATAACAAAGACAAATAAATGGGTCAATTGATTAGGATTAGGATTTATGCGAGCAGCATAGTTTATGATATTATCTATCTGGACTGTGTAAAAATGATAAAATGTGTTCTGACTCAAAACACAAAGTGTGTTTCATGAATTGGAAATAAATCAGATCTACTCAGACCTGTTCTGGAAGATGAAGAGGGACTGATACACTTGAAGATCCTGTATCTTTAAGCCTTCAGAGAGACCAGACCAGGATTTTACAACAGACAAATAGCCTATGTTTCAGTACTTCAGGAGTTAAGCTTGCAATGTTAAAGTAAGTTGAACAATAATTACATCTCAGTGATGACTGATTTTTATTAGCATCTAGGGAATATTTACCATGCTCTGTTACCAAAATACATCACTGTTATCTAAGATAAATTATGCACTTCTGAAATATTTTTTAAGAAATCTTTAACTTTCCCACGAGGTTGTTACAAAGGTCAGTCTAAAAACAAAAAAAGATATATCAGTGTTTGCTGGTGTTTTGTTTCTAGTCCTTTTTTAAGAACAACTATTATCATCCCCCAAAAGGAAAAAAAGAATCATAGAAACAGAAAGAAAGAAAGAAAGAAAGAAGGAAGGAAGGAAGGAAGGAAGGAAGGAAGGAAGGAAGGAAGGAAGGAAGGAAGGGGAGGAGGAGGGAGGGAGGGAGGGAGGGAGGGAGGAAGGAAGGAAGGAAGGAAGGAAGGAAGGAAGGAAGGAAGGAAGGAAGGAAGGAAGGAAGGGAAAAGAAGAGGAGCTGAAGGAGGAAGGGCAGAGAAAAGAGTGGGAGGAGGAGGTGTTGGCTTCTTTCTGGAAGGTCTCCAAGATGATGAGGGAGGATAGTATCTCAGAGTTTCAAGTTAATTGATTAGCTACCACAGTGAGGAGCTAAAAGGAAAACACACAAAGAGAAGAAAACAGGTTCAACTGTTTGGATCTTTCAATTTGAAACCTTGAATTTCACCTGCTCTGTTGGGAAACTGGTCTATTAGTAAAAGGATCTAGAGTGTGGTGCAAACCAGAACATGAGATAAATGTGAAATATTGTGGTGACCAGGCACAAAAATCATAGATTATAAGTCTTGAAGTACATGTTAATTATGCTAACCTTTCCTATGCTTTGATTATTTCCTTAAAGATAAATCTCTCTACCAAAAAATTAATTAACTAATTAATTAAAAATTTTAATAATCTACAACTAAGGGTCCATTACTGGAGGAGACTGTATAACTAGTGATTATAAAACATTATGAATTATCACAAAAATCAATTTTCCAAAAAATAATTTAGCCCACTTAACAATATGAATTGGGTTTTTCCCTGCTTTGGCTATTTTAAACTCAGGAGTATATGTACATTAAAATAGTTTATAACTATATAAGCTTAGTTATAGGTAGCTTCATCTAATTGATAACTCAAGCTTTTATTATATTATTAATATTTTTATGGTAGCATAGCTGAAATACAGTGGGTAAAGAAACATTCTAAATCAGTTTTGGGTTTTCACTTTTGGCTGTGCTGAGGATCACACCCAGGACTTCAAGCAATGACAGAACCACGTGGCTACATCCCAAGCCTTGTTCTTTAAGACAGGGTCTCAGTTCATGGCACAGTCAGACCTTGAGCTCATGCCTGTCATGTCTTTGCCTCATCAGTGCTAGGGGAAGTATGTGTCCCCAAGTCTGTATACCTGTGCACCATTGCTCTTTCATATTTCATGGTGAGAATTCTGATGGTACAAAAGTAAACAAAGACTATTTGTTCTTTAAAGTTACATGTTTAACAAAATACTATAGGAATGTATAATCACACAAGAACACAAACAAGTATGTTTTTTAAATAAGGTTTAATTTTAACTAATAAATTTTAAGCAATGAGTATCATACCAATCCAAGTCTTCACTAAGTTTCAATGCATGACCATTTTTGTAACTCAATTTTTTTCACCATGGTTTATTTTTAGCCTATTTTTTTATTTTTCTCCTTAAACATTCTTCTTTGCATCCCTTTCCTTCCTTTGTTTTTGATGAGTCACATACAGTTTGGCTAAAGGGCCATTCTAGTACAGTAATGTTTCAACTTGCAAGGAAGGACTCCCTTGTTGAGCTGGTAGAACTCCACCAGCTGGATGAGATCTGTGAATCTTGTGTGGCCATCATCCAGGGTGTGGAACATCTCACCATCATCTTCCACCTTCAGTAGGACAAGCAACAAGCCAGTGAAAGAACAGCAATGAGCAAACAAACAAATATTTTAAAACAAACAAAGACAGGGATAAACAGCCCAGAACTGCAAATACGGTTCTCTGCATACTATGTTTTCATAAGCCTAAATCAACAAGTCTATAAAACTAAGGACAATGAAAAGAGCCCCGTGGCCACTTTGCCTGATAATATCCCTTGCACTTAAAAGGAGTTATCTATTCTTTGATTAAGCAGTCTAGTTCTTTCTCTGCTAATTTTCCCAGTATTCAGTATATTTAGGATACCACAACAATCGCCTATCAGCAGTGAGGACTCTGTACTCTCTACTAAGCATAAAACATCAGTGTTTTCATTTAGAGTTTTTGCAGTTTTTTTAGTCATGCTTTTGGGCACAAATCTCTTCATATTTGTTGGGGCTGCAGATCCCATAATAAAAAATAATCAAAGAAGCAGGGAGGACACTTTAGGCAACTACTGGAAAAATCCAGAAAGAGGGGACTCAGGAGGAACCATCAGCATTCTGGCAACCTTACGAAATACCTTCCTGAGGATGGATGACATCTCCGCTGCTCTGTGGACTTCCCATGTGCAAACCACACATATGCACATGCATCAGCAACACAAGAGGAACACCAAAGCAGACTATGATGAAGGTATTTCTTAATGTTCTAAGAATAATTTGTATATCCACTAGTTATACAACACCTTTGATTTCGTCATGGTTAAAAAGAAGTTAACAGCAGAAAAAGTACATATATTTGAGAGGAGGAAGGAGGCAGGGGCTTTCAAGCACTGCTTTGTAAAATAATCTATTAGTGACCTTCAGAAGAAGGACTTTTTAGTGGCCTTTAACAATGTGTGGCATGAGGTCTACACAGTATTGCTAAATCACATTTTGTGGAAAAGAGGGAAATTTAATTTTTACAATTCCTGTATTTCTTATATTAATTCAGGCTCATAAAACCATTTCTGCCAAACTTAACTCTAGTCAAAACACAAGCTCCCAAATTATATTTGCTAAGAAGAACAAAGGACAACCAAAGTTTCCCAAAGCGTATGCATTAACAACATCTCCAATACATGCATCTGCGCATCTCCAGTGGATTGCAGGACATGCAACTGTGACTACAGTTACTTACAGGTATGATTTGAAAGTGTTTTATCTTTTGTCCATGACTCATTGACAGCACAAAAGTTCTGGGGTTACTCTGACTGTCCCGTACCAAGAAAACTCTAGAGAGAGAGAAGGAATTTCACTGTGTCTTTCTTCACACTCAGATTTCATAGAAATGCATTGTGTTCAAATGCAGGAAAGCATACGTATAAAAGGGAGATCTGGGGCCTCCCTTACTGGGTGACCAATGCGAAAGATCATGCAACTTGGAAAACCAGAGTGCTAAACTGTCATTACACTAATGGGATACAGTAGGATAGAGACACAACCCTTTGGCAGGTTGCATGATCATGACTGCCAATATAATGCTAAGGTGGCATCAGTAACTACTATGATGTCTTATTCTCACTGAGAATCCTATTTTAACTGACGGGTCCTGACAGGCCCCTGAAAGGAGGTTATTATTGGGAATCAAATAGTTGTTTTTACCCTTCTCCTGCAGTGGGCCCTCCTGTTTCAACCAGCACAGACACAAGTACTAAGCAATGAATATATTCTAACAAATGAATCTTGGAATTGTTTGCGAAATGTTTAGGTAAAGATGTTTTAAGTAAAAGAAACACCAAGCAACTTGCACTTTAACCTTGAAGAGGCCAGCATAAACCCTTTATAATGTCAGGCTAGACAGGCAAGATGTGGCCTACTGGCCTAAGGAAAAAAGACTACCAGGCAGGGATTCGTATTTACTGGCAGCGCTGCGCAAATCTAGTTTTGTATTAATTGTTGGGAGGCACGCTGTGTAAATGTCCCTGTGCTGACTCCAATACTAATCTCACTGTGCCTGGGCCAACCGGCAGCCAATGTCCGAGGAAAGCATCCATTTCCTGTGTACTGTGTGAGGCTCAGAAATTACATCACTGGGGGACTGGGCAGAGGGCATTTCAGTGGTAAAGTCAGCTGTAATTCTCTTCCCCAAGAAGACCAGCACTACCACCTAGTGGTGTACTTGGTAGCACCACATCTTTCCAAATAGAAAAAAAAAAAAAAGAAAAGGTTAAAGAAACATATTCAATATTATTCCTTATCCAATTATTTCTTTTAATTTAAAAATCCTGGATCCAAAAATTAATGGACTTGTAATCTTCTTGAACACTTAGGTAAGTACTTATCAGTCTTTTTCTTGGTCTCTTCTCTGTATAACTCCGCAGCTCATCATATTTATAACCCCAGGGACTATGCTAGGACATGTAGAAACACAGTCATATTTCCTCTTAGAATCTAGTGAGATGTGCATGTGTGCATCTTTATCTAAATGACAGTATCAGAAAACTAAGTATTGTCAACATCCTGAGCCAACTTTTGCGGATAAAAGATCCATCATATTTCTTGATAAAGAAATATGGCTAAAATTATACTAAGTGAATGAAATATACTAAGTGAAACAGAAAATCCTTATTATAAATGTTGCAGAATTCATTTATCTGCTTTTATACTCATTAAAAATAGTAAGGGTTATCACCAAAAAGCAATTTTAGAGGCACATACTATTTTAGAGAAATGGCAACAAAGACATAAAAAGAACAAAAAATGGGGAAAGAATTCAAAATATACAAGAAAAAAATTTAATTAATATATTTTGTAACATATCCAAGAAGCCTAATTTATGAAAACATCATGCTATAAAATACATTTTAGATTATATCTATTATATTTACAAAACAAAATGTTGACACCTCAAGAGATTTAGATGCCACCATTCATCCACTAGTATCTGAGATGATAGCATTCATGCAAAATGGATATTAACGCTAACTGGTCAAGGATAAAGTATCCTGTCGGTTATTTATACACAAACATTAAACACTGCTGTAACAGAGTGACAAGCATACTTCCAGAACAAAAGGACCTCTCATTTGTGATGGGTCAAAATTTAAATTTCTTAGTATGTGCTAAATTATCATTATTCATAGGGGAAAAAAATCCAAATATTATCACTCAGACTGCAAATATCAAACTTACCCGTCCACAGGCCCCTGACGGATAATCAGTTGCTGAGCTTCGTCTCGAGAAATTCTGTGATGAAACCATGGCTGGGACCGATGGATAGCTGAAGGAAGACAAAGGTTTGTCTGAAATGACCATGATCTCATTACATGCACAGCCCATCCTGTCCCATGTGACTGAATCTGCAGGAGCATCCATCTAGTTTCCCATCCACTGCTTGACAAACCCCGAGAGGAGACATACCCATGTTCACAGCCGAGCTCTGGGACGGGGCGGTGGGGCTGCCGTGATTCCCCAGGCGTAAACATCCTTTCTTCTGAGCATAAAAAGGAACGCAAATAAAATCTCAACTTCTAGCCTTCTAAATTGACTCAAATCATAAACATTTGAGAACAATGAAGTCAGCAGTACCCTCCAAGCGAGCCCTTCCTCCACAGCAACGGAAAGCGCTTCCGTGGGGTTGTCTATGACTCTGCTCTTCTGACCGGAGAAGTCCATCGCTACTAGGGAGTTCTCCGATATGCTTCTCTGAAAGATTCAAACAATAGAACAAAAGCTTTTGAGCTATCAATATATATCTTACCAACTAACCTTCAGTGTTTTTCTGTCCATATGTGTCCACTTGGTCAGGGACCCTGCAAGTGTCACGGCCAGCAGGGAAATGATCCATGCCAGGTGCAGATTCCATGTGGCTTGAGCAGGCGCTGGGTCAAAACTTCCAGAGTCTGAACTCACAGTTCATTTCCCTTACACATTTAAGCATAGCAATTCTTTGAAGAGAGGATTTCATGTGACAATTATCTCAACAAAGCTTTAGGCATAGCTACATAGCAACTTCCTTGCAAAGTACGGTAAGCATCAGTACTATTGACTGGTAGACCTCATGGTAAGGGGCTAGGGAGGAAGGATTTAATAAGCGTAAGGATGGATTCCATTAGTAGATGATGTAAAGTTCATGGGACCATCTTCATAAGGAAGGGTTCTAGTCACTGAGAGACTAAGCTCAGGATGAGGGCCTAAACAATGTTCAGGATATTAGGAAATTTCAGAAGGCTTGCTCCATAAAAGAGCAAATGATCACCAGATTGTTAGACAGCATCCACTCCAGTCTTCTAGGTGACCAGACAATAGTCATTTTCCTTCTTTGGAGAAAAAAAGACCTGCGTATTTAACAATTCTTGTTTTTCCAATGCTTTCTCTAGACTGTGCCTCCTACAGGATTCTGAAAGTGGTTAATCAGAAATTTAAAAGTTAAATTGTGTATAAGAGGTAAGATGGTGGGTGGTCTAACATTCATCAGTCTAGTGAGCTACATGGTTAATTGTCAAGATAACTAAGTAAATGCTGAATGGATGGATTTATAAAAACTTTGAAATAAAACTAGCTCTTCGTCTTTTCCAGGAAATGGCAAAATACCTATTGAGCGAGGCATAGCTATTAAGTTAAAATGATCCATTAGTTCATCTTTCTAAGATTTTTGTCAATTATCAATTAAGTGTCAAATTCGACTACTTATGAAATAGCCTTTTATTTTATGTGTTTTTTCTGCATATACATCTGTGCAACACATACATGTAGTGCCCAGGAAAGCCAAAAGAGGAGAATGAATTCCACAGAACTGGAGTTATAGAAGATTTATCCATGTGGGTGCTGAGAATCAAACCCAGGTCCAGCAATCAGTACTCTTAGCTCCTGAGCTCTCTCCAGCCTGGACTAACTCTTTATAAAACACATGCCTACAAAAGATATACTTTAAGTCGGCAAACATCTACTTGGAATTAGTATTCATGTTTTGTTTTTATTATTAATTTTTGTTGTACATATTCTTTAAAAATGAATTTAGTTATCCAAATATAATAGTACAGAGATTGTTTAAAAGTACCCTTGAAATAGACACAATTTTAAAGTTTCTAAAAATTCTAGGGGATAGCAGTTTATTGTCCCCAAAACCCAAAGAATACCATGTCAGGAATTTGAAAATACTGGGAAACTTGCCTTTTCTCATTGTTTGTTATAATTCTAAAATGTATCATCGTTGCTGAACAAAAGTACTCATGTTTTATAGAGGAACAAACTTGAACATCTGTTTTGAAAAATCTCTGGCATCAATTCTAATTTAATTTAGAAAGTAAAATTTTGTGGGATAATAATTCAGACATTTCCATAATATTCAAATGTTTGGGTTCAATGCATCATCTGTCCCCCTCTTTTGGGGAGACCCATGGAAAAACAGAAACTACTAACATGAGCCTGAACCACAGACTGTGTCACAAACTGAAAACCGCCTTAAATAAGCAAGAAGGACATCAATTTTTAATTTGGTTGTTTGTTTATTTTGTTTTGTTGCTAATTCTTTTTTCCCAATTCTCTGAAAATAAAACAACCAATGCTTGGACCTAGTTTCCTTTAGGGTGTTATTTGGCAATAAATCTCTTAAAAAGTTTATCACCCCACAAAGTCAAGAATCCAGAAAACAGAATTTTTCAAGTCTCTGGTTAAGAGTCTTGCTGTTTTCATAAGCCAGGGAAATAATGTAAGACTTTCCCTGAGAAAACAGCAAGAAAGGAAAACACGTAAGTTATTCTCCACTAATTATTAAAAGAATGAACCCAGAGTGTCGTGATGGTGGTGAAGTTAAGCCACGCCGCATGTGGGCACCTTCAGAGAGAGTGCCATTTCTTACCTCCCGGAGGATTCAGTCAACCGATCATGGTCACATGTGGGCTTCACACAAAATGTTATCCACAAGGAAGAATTTAGGGCTCCTTTATCACTGAATCACAGACCCCTACTTATTAGAATCTGCTATTTTCTCTTCAAACATGTGAGAGAAGTTGCAGTCTTATTATGGCTCACCTCTCTTCCTGAGACCCTCATGCAATCCCGTCTGTTGCGGGGAGTTTTTATTACTGACGGCTGCTCTTTCCGGCAGATGCTGTCTCTGTAATCTCTATTTGCTGTCACACTTTAGCTTGCCCTTCTCACCCCGTGATCTTCTGTGCCGGGCTGTAGACCAGTCGGATATGCCTTTGCTTTGCCGACCTTAATGAAAATCATCCACCTGCCCCAACACAGAGTAACTGGCCTCGATCCTAATGATAGCTTGATCCCTGCAATATCTCTACCTCCACATGCCATGCTGGTTCTGTACTCTCAAGTGCCTGATAACATAAAAATGATGTTAGGAAAGAGACATAAACACAATCAGTCCTTCTGTGGTTTTCTTCTTTTTTTTTCTTCCCCACAACGGCAGACAGGGATGTAAAATAAGATCCCATGTTCATAATTGCCTGGCAAATGTAAGGAGATTGCACAACAAGCAAAGAACATTTTTATTTGCTATGGTAACTACACTGTGGGAAAACAGTAATACAGCAAATGTTTTCTACTGAATGGCAGGTGGTGGATGAAAAATTAATAGTTTACCTTTAGTGGACAAAGAAATAGAAACGAAGCTGAGTTTGACAGCCTGGAAAGGTCATTTTCAGCTCGATTTTCTTCACATAGGAAAGCAATGCTGATAACGTTCAGAACTGGTTGGATTTCTCAATCATTTGCCTCTCTTTCTCCCCCATTCTTCTTAGGAGATGGATGAGACATTCCCCAAGAAACAGTCCATGGTTGTAACAGCCTTGCCTTTTTAGAAACAAGAAGGGGACTGGGACGAGGTTGGATTTTCCAACTTACACTGATATCTGATCCACCTACTATTAGTGCCCTAGGCACAACGTGTCTCTTTAAGAGTTTAGCTACAAGAGTTTAGCTACAAGGCACACATTCGAAGGAGCTGGATAAATTCACAGCCTCTCATTACAAAAAGGGCACAGAATTTCTCCTATATTGTCACCTCATCTCATCCCTACAGAGCCACAGGACAGTAGAGACACATTGTCCTCAAAGACGATTCCGTAATCCCTTTATCTTTGCACAGTAAGAACCCAGAGACTAGCCAAAGTCACGTAGACAGTTTCAGGTAAAAGGGGTAACCGGCATGCTGTGTCTTGTCTACAGTTCTTTTACTGACACAAATAGGAGACACAGGAAAGAACTTGAGTTTAGAATGTAGAGGTTAGGTCAAAAGTGGAGAACAGAGCGAACATTGGTCGATTTCCCCTGTCTCCCCGTTCCAGCTAGGACCCTATCAACAGGCCCTTCTTTCACAAGAATCTTTACAGGTGTATCCAGCCTCCTGAAATGATTGCAGCTGATTCTCATCTCAAAGTCAATGAGGGGTAGCTGTATGTAGTTATGATGGTCAGTATGGTGTATGAACTGCTTTCATCATTTCTCTTCTCAAAGTGCATATGTCAAAAAAAATTATAGGCTATGCCTTTAAATGTGTAACGGGGTATCCTGCCTTTTATATGTGACATCCTATTAAGTAGTCACTGAATGAGAAGCAGCTAAGGTAGGCGATAGGGTGTGGCTTCTATTAAGCCTCGAATTCTTCCTAATAACCTAGAAAAGTGGGATCCAGCACAGACACCAGGATAAGCAAAATGTCTCCCACTGCTTCCAAGTCTCTATCACAGAAATTATGAGCTACATAGATAAAAGTCATAAACACTGCCCTTTCCGATAACCACCCCCACACACACCCCAAGGACAGGTCTCTCCCACACACGCACTTGAATCACTTCCCCTCTTCAGTCCCCACACCCAACAAGAGTCACAATGGAGTTTGTCTTCCTATACATAGTGATCAAGTCACACTATAACTAAAATCTCTCTCTCTCTCTCTCTCTCTCTCTCTCTCTCTCACACACACACACATACACACACACACACACACACAAACACTCACACACACACACCTTGACTGCCAGCATTTCCCATATTAAACAGTTTCTAAAGGTAAGAGTGACCCCAGGCTTGGATGCTAATGACAGAGATGGGCATGGAAAGGAGTTTGATTATAATATTTTCCTATGATTAAAAGGCCATTAAACAATAATTGCTTCCAAATGCTTAAATGCTGTTAACAAATTCATCGTAATAACTTCAGACTCTAAAAGAAATTTGGAGAGATTTAGAAGATTAAGTTAATAAAATTCACTGTTTTTCATAGGCGAGGGATTGAAAGATAAAAGTAAGCTGGCAAAATATAAAAAACACCCATCTTAAAGAGATTGTTTTTTTAAGATTCATTATCTCCCTTAGTTCCTTATTTTAAGGCTTATAAGGGTGTTTTTCAAAAATGAAAAGTTATTTTTTGACCACTTAAAGGAACATAACTACAAAATTGGAGGGCCATTTCTTGGCAGTTCTATCAGACTCCGTAGCCAGCATCATTTCATGCCTGATTCCTAGAGCAGGACATGGCGTCTGCTAGCTGAGCAGTGAGACACACGGACCTTCCTTGGTCACAGCCATGAAGAATGTATGCTAACCTCAGTGGAGACGCAGATTTCAAAAATGCACATCAACTAATTTGTAACGTGGGCACATACATCTGAATTTTGAATGCACTCAAATGCCAAGGAGTACAGCGAAAAGAACAGAACAGAAGCTTTACGTTCAGAAATAAATGTTTTGTGTTAATGGATAGGAGATTAAAATTAATTTCTGAGAAAGCATAAGACACGTGTCTATGAATGAACATCAAGGTGAATCTGGGAAGCAATTCTGCACAAATGTCATGCATGACCTAGGCTTTGACTGGATTCCAGTTTTGTGGTTTCATGGAAAGCAGATGATGTTTTAAGAGTCTAGATGATAGAAACATATTATTATGAAAATATAAGGATAAAGACAAGCTTGAGTATTCATAATGTACCCTCAAATTTTTAAATAATGGTATGTTATTTGGCTATAACAATACTAAATTAATATTGAAAGGCATCTATAAAGCTACAACTCAAATCAATGGTTATTAGGCATAATCCACAAAGCCAAGAAGATATTCTGAAAATTATCTTATTATGACCCTATTTACAAATGTCATAGTGACCCTGAATGACTCACATAATCCTTTCAATTGTTTTTACTTTAACACATAAAATTAGGTCTTTCATTGAATTCTTCTTATATATTTCTGTTTTTTATTACAGAAACTGACCATATATGTAATACAAAACCAAAACTTCTTTGTAACATTACATGAAAATGTTGCAAAAAAATTACTTTATTTGACACCAAAAGTTAAAACGTAAAGTCACTATATGTTTAGTGTAGAGAAGTAGTAGATAACATAATTACAAAGCTGAGATTTGAAACCTTGGTCCTTACCATGGGTGGTATGCTCTGAGAACTGCAGCCACTTCTACCTTGGTATGGGTGCATGTAATTCTGGTACAGCTGCATGCCATACTGCAGAACAGACACACAAGAAAACATGCTTTCAGGATATCAACTGACTGATTGTCAACACTTTCATAGCTCTATATTATTAATACATTTTTCCTTTTTTTTTTTACAGTTTTTACGTGTTCTCCTCTCATACAATACATCCTGAATTCAGTCCCTCCATTCCTCCCTGGTTCCCCACCACCTCCTCTCTCCCACAGATCCCCACCACCTCCTCTCTCCCCTAGATCCACTCTGTTTCCATTTCCCCTCCGAGAGAGTGGAGGGTGGAGAAAGAGAGCCAGGAGCAGAAGAGGGTGGAGGAGAGAGAAGAAAATATAACAAAGAGAGAAAGAGAGGAGAGAGGGAGAGGATCAAAGGAGAGAGAGGGAGAGGAGGGTAAGAGAGAGAGGAGGGTAAGAGAGAGAGAAGAGAAGAGGGGGAGAGAGAGAGAGGGACTTCCAGAGATATCAACCGAACATACTTAACAAGTTACATTAAGATTAGGCACAAACCCGCACATTAAGGCTGAATAAGGCAACCTAATAGGAGGAAAAGAGTCCCAAGAGGAGACAAAATAGTAGAGATACTCTCTCACTGGCACTGTCAGACGTCCCGCCAAAATACCAAGCCAATAACCATAACATATGTGTAAGGGACCTAGCACAAACACAGGCAGGCTCTGTGATTGCCACTTCAGTCTCTGTGAGTCCCGTGAGCCCTAATTCTTCTGGATATGTTCTCCAAATATCCTCCACCCCACTGGCTCCCACAATTCTTTCTCCCCTACTTCTGCGGTGTTCATTCCTCCATTGCTGGTGAGGATGCAAACTTGTTCAGCCACTATGGAAATTAATATGGTGGTTTGTCAGAAAGCTGGGAATTGATCTACCTCAAGACCCAGCTATGACACTCTTGGGCATACACCATCGGACACTTCATCCTACCACAAGGACACTTGCTCAGGTACATTCAAAATGGCTTTATTGACAACAGTCAGAAACTAGAAACAACCCAAATGTACCTCAAATGGAGAATGGATAAAGAAAACATGGTACATTTACACAACGGAGTATTATTCATCTATTAAAAAAATGACATCATAAAATTTTCGAGCAAATGGATGAAACTAGAAAATATATCATCCAGAGTAAGGTAACACAGACACCAAAAGACACAGTTGATAAGTGCTTACTTATAAGTGGATATTAGCTGCTAACTAAAGGATAATCGAGCTAAAATCCCACAGACCCAGAATGGCTAGGTAGCAAGGAGGGCTCATTGAATGATTTTTGTATGTTGAACTATCTTTGCATCTCTGAGATGAAGCCAACTTGATCATGGTGGATGATTTTTCTGATGTGTCCTTGAAAAAATAAAAACCACATGATCATCTCATTAGATGCTGAAAAAGCCTTTGACAAAACATAATAACATCCTTTCATGATAAAGGTCTTGGAGAGAGCAGGAATACAAGGAACACTAACCGAACAAGAAGAAGATCTGTATGACAAGAACTTTAAAACTTTGGAGAAAGAAATTGAAGAAGACACCAGAAAATGGAAAGATATCCCATGCTCTTGGGTAGGTAGAATTAATATAGTAAAAAATGGCAATCTTACCAAAAGCAATCTACAGATTCAATGCAATGCCCATCAAAATCCCAACAAAATTCTTCACAGACCTTGATAAAACAGTACTCAACTTCATATGGAAGGGCAAAAAAACCAGGATAGGCACAACAATCCTGTACAATAAAGAAACTTCCAGAGGCATCAAAATCCCTGACTTCAATCTCTACTACAGAGCTACAGTATTGAAAACAGCCTGGTATTGTCATAAAAACAGACAGGAAGACCAATGGAAACCAAACTGAAGACCCAGATATTAATCCAAACACCTACAAACACTTGATTTTTGACAAAGAATCAAAAAATATAAAATGGAAAAAAAGCACATTTAACAAATGGTGCTGGCATAACTGAATATCAACATGTAGAAGAATGATCCATATCTATATACCCCATGCACAAAACTCAAGTCCAAATGGATCAAAGACCTCAACATAAAGCCAGCCAGCCACACTGAATTTCATATAAGCGAAAGTGGGAAGAACACTTAAAAACATTGGCACAGGAGACCATTTCCTAAATATAACCCCAGTAGCACAGATACTGAGAGAAACAATTAGTAAATGAAACTTCCTGAAACTGAAAAGCTTCTGTAAAGCAAAAGACACGGTCAACGCTACAAAACGACAGCCTACAAAATGGGAAAAGATTTTCACCAACCCCACATTAGACAGAGGTCTGATCTCCAAAATATACAAAGAACTCAAGGAATTGGTCATTAAAAGGACAAATAATCAATAAAAATAATGAAGTATAGACCTAAACAGAGAACTCTCAACAGAAAAATCTAAAATTGCTGAAAACACTTAAAGAAATGTTCAGCATCCTTGGTCATCAGAGAAATGCATATATAAACAACTCTGAGATTCCATACATAAGTAAGAATGGCCAAGATTAAAAACACTGATTACAACTTATGCTGAAGAGAATATGGGGCAAAGGGAACACTCCTCCATTGCTGGTGAGAGTGCAAATTGGTACAGCCACTTTGGATATCAGTATTGTGATTTCTCAGAAAATTAGGAAACAACCTTCCTCAAGACTCAGACCATTTTTGGATATATACCCAAAGGATGCTCAATCGTTCCACAAGGACATGTGCTCAACTATGTTCATAGTAGCATTGTTTGTAATAGCCAGAACTTGGAAACAACCTAAATGACCCTTGACCGAAGAAAGGATAAAGAAGATGTGGTACATTTACACAATGGAGTACATCAGGAAAAGAAATAATGACATCTTGAAATTTGCAGCCAAATGGATGGAGCTAGAAAACATCATATTGAGTGAGATAACCCAGACCCAAAAAGACAATTATCATATGTATTCACTCATAAGTGATTTTTAAACACAAACCAAAGAAAATCAGCCTACAAATCACAATCCCAAAGAACCTAGACAACAATGAGGACCCTAAGAGAGACATACATGGGAAGTAAAAAAAGACAAGATCTCCCGAGTAAATTGGGAGTGTGGGGATCATGAGAGAGGGTTAAAGGGGAGTGGGGAGGAAGGGAGGGGAGAAGATAAAAATGTGTAGCTCAATAAAATCAATTTAAAAACTTAAAAAAAAAGAAAAAGAAAACAAGGAGGGCTCTAGGGTGAACAGATGGATACCATTTAATCATGTAACTTTAATCATGCAAGCAACCAAACAGTGAACTATTAACTTCAGAGCCCTAAAAGGATACATTTAAAAAGGAAGCTTTCTCACATCCACAAAGCTTTTAGTGTGGCTCAAGAGAAAGCTCTAAAATTCACATTTCTCTTTGGTGACAAACTGTAGTATAAGCCTTTTGAGTGGTTGGTACACTGCCTAGTGATAAAGCTGACATAGAAAACATGGTATCCTTTTGGGAACAATGATTTTTTAAAACCTTACACATCCTAAACATCAGTAAGAAATTCAGTCCCTCTGATGTCTGATGGGTGAGGTTTGCTTTGTTGATTAAGTAAATTATAAACTCGGTCCCATGTGGATAACATACAAGTTATCTTTCCATAAATATATGTCTGCATGTGTATGTGGGCCTATGTCTGTCCCCCACCCAATTGTATGTGTATGTGTGTTTGTGTGCATGTGTGTATATGCATGTACATGTACACATGTGTGTGTGTATGTGTGTGTGCAGTCCAGGGATCAACCTTAGTTGTAATTCCTCAGTTCAGTTACATCCTCCTCCTTCTCCTCCTCCTCTTTTCACAAAAGACCCACATTCTATCCAAGAACTTGCCAAGTAGGCAGGACTGGCTGGCCAGCAAGCCCCATGCTTGCCTCTGCCCTCCCAGTGGTGAGCTTATAAATGCGTGCCCTCAAGCCAGCCTTCATTTCATATGGGTTCTGGGAATCCCATAACTCTAGAGACTCAGGTCCTCCCACTTAAAAAAAAAATCACTTCATCAGGTGGAGTATCTCCCAGGCCATTTTTTCTTTAAGTATTCTTACAGGATTTATTTTTACTTTGTGCATCAAAGAAATGGGGAATGAATTAGATTTCCCACAAAGAGTTTCAATTTCCCAAATGTAAATAATGGTAGTGTCTTTACTTTCAGGAAACAGTATCATGGAGAATTAACTAGAATGCTACTGTGGGAAAGTAGGCCAGGATCATATATTTGAGAAACAAGCATACAAACTGCTGTGAGCAAACCCACTCTGGAAATGTCGGCATAAGACTCTGGAGGACGGCTTCTGTTGGAGAAGATGTGGAGTAAGGGGAACACTCCTCTGCTGCCGCTGGGAGCGCAAACTTGTACAGTCACTTTGGAAATCAGTATGGCGCTTTCTCAGAAAATTTGGAATCAGTCTACCTCAAGACCTAGTGATATCACACTTGGGCTTATATACCCAAAGGATGTTCAATCACACCATGAGGACACTTGCTCAGCTACGTTCATGGCAACATTACCCATAATAGCTAGAACCTGGAAACAACGTAGATGCCCCTCAACAGAAAAATGGGTGAAGAAATTGTGGTACATTTATACAATGGAGTACTACTGAACTGTAAAAAAACAATGATATCATGAAATTTGCAAACAACTAGTAAAAACATCCTGCGTGAGGTAACCCAGACTCAGAATGACAAAGAAGGTATGCCCTCACTCATAAGTGGATGCTAGATGTAAAGCAAAGGATAACCAGACCACAACCAACAGCTCCAGAGAAGCTAGGTAACAATAACAAGGAGGACCCTGAGAGGGACGCATGGATCCCCCTGGGAAGGGGAATTAGATAACATCTCCTGGGTAAACTTGCGGTGAGGGGGGCAGTAAAGCAGAAAGGATGGGGAATGAGAACATAAGGAAATGGGATGATTCAGTTGGGAGGAGAGGAATGAAGTGGCAGAGTAATGAAAGAGATATCTTGATGGAGAGAGTCACTATGGGATTAAAGAGAAACCCAGGGCTAGGGAAATTCCTAGGAATCTACAAAGGATGATCCCAGCTAAGACTCCTAGCAATAGTGGAGAAGGTGCCTGAATTGACCCTCCCTTGTAATCAAATAGGCGAATACCCCAATTGTCATCATCGAGTCTTCATTCCATAATTTATGGAAACAGGAAGAGATCCACAACCAAGCACCAGGCTGAGTACCGGGAATCCAGTTGAAGAGAGGAAGGAGGGAATATATGAGCACGGGAGGTCAAGATCATGAAGGAGAAATCTACAGAGACAGCTGAACCAAGCTTGTGGGAACTCATGAATTCTAGAACAACAGCTGTAGAGCCTCTGAGGGACCAAACTAGGCCTTGTGCATGAGGGAGATAGTTGTATATCTTGGTCTATCTGAGGGGCCTCTAGAAGTTGGACCAGGATCTAACCCTGGTGCATGAGCTAGCTTGTTGGAGCACATTTCCTAGGTAATATGCCACTAAGCCTTAATGCAGAGGGATGGGGCTTGGTCCACCCTCAACTTAATGGACCAGGCTTTCTTGACTCCTCATGGGAGCCCTTACCTTTTGGGAAGAGTGGATGGGCGGTGAGTTGGGGGAGCAGGGAGAAGGTAAGGAAGTATGGGAGGAGGGATGGGAGGAAGAACTGTGATTGGAATGTAAAATGAAATTTTAAAAAATTCATTTAAAAACGTATCTGGTTGCTTTCCCCTTGAATTTTTCACTGTGCTAAAGGAAAAAAAAAACTAATGAGATGGCCAACTTTACTGATATAATTATTTCGGCACACTCTCCAAACGCTGCCATTGCATGGACCTCTAAGAAGCCTCTGGTAGGTTCTAGCACCTGCATTCTAGCACCAGCCTTCAACACAGCAATCATCACTGGCAAGCAGCTCTTGCCGTGTCTGAGCCAGCAATGCTGTGCAGCAGAAAGACTGTAGATAAGAAGGTGTAGTCCAGGCATGGAATGTAAGGGCATCAGCTTTGAGAAGCAAAATACACCATCAACTGCAGGTGAAGATCATCATTGCTAGTCTGTTCCACTTTGAAGAATGACCAACATGGGGAGAAGTCCAACGACCAGACACAGGACAACTACCTCTTTGGCGTGGGAAACCTTAACCAGGTTTCAACCTCACATCCTAACGCCAGAGTGTAGCTTGGACCTCCCTCCATGGCTGAGAGTCTTCCTTAAAAGCTGGCTGCAGATCTCCTGTAGACCAGCCTGGGTCGCCTACTTTCACTCCCTGAGCCTGCCTAGGCCAGCTCCCTGTGCCTTCTGTTGCCTCCACGGGGCAAGTGTGGGCTGATGACACACTTGTCTGCCAGCACAGTACTTAGAAACCTCTGCCTTGACAATCCCATACATTAAATTGTTTCCTGAAGTAATAAAAAAACGAGAGGGTGAGGGGGGTCATGACCGATATGGAGACTAAATAGAAAACAGAATCGAGGAACCAAATCTTAGCCACAGGATGAATTCCATAACAGCTTCTTTTTACTAAAATATTTCCCTAAAGTAATTCCCACAAAGCAAATAAATTTGGTAATTAGGAAAAAAATGTCAAAGAGGAGAATTACTGTTCTCAAGATTTTGATTTTAACATGAATATAAACCCATTCTCATTTAAAGTCCTCCATGCTGACTCCCTTTATCCAATTATTTCTCAACTTCTAAAAAAGAATTTTTTTAATTTAAAGTTTGAATGACATTAATGGGACCTAATGAAATTTAACTCCAAGTCAACAATAACTTCACAAAGAAAAGTAGAGGAGCTTAATTCCTGGACACATTCATTTCAGAGAACAGATAGTAACCTCAAACCAACACTTTCACAAGAAACATGCTGCTTGGCCACCTTTTATTTGTCAGCATTGAAAAGCCGGCTACCTACTAATAAGACAGTTTTCTTCAAAGATGTATTGTCCCTGATCCTGCCAGTGCCTCTGTGCTGTTGGGGGTCTTTAGAAAGCATTTAACTCTGGCCGAGGGGTAGGGCATGGGTCACCTCAACATTTGCCTGTCCCATGGAGGGGCAGATAGGCACCAAACTAAGCTAGAGTGAAGCTGGCAGAGTTCTAATTGACAGGAACGGAAAGAGCTGACACTTAGCCAGGATACAGCACAATACGGAGCAACGAGCCTCTGTTCCAAGCCTCAGACTTGGCATAATTTTTTATATAGAGTATTTTTCATAAAGTATTTAGAGTACTTTAGAGTATATATAGAGTGTTTTTAGAGTATATATAGAGTATTTTTCATAAAGCAAAAGGATGTCTCCTATGCTGCTTTTGTGTATGTGTATGCTTCTGTGTATGTGCGTGTGTGTGTGCATGCACATGGGCGTGTGTGTGGTTTTGTATGTAGATGAGTGTACATATGTGGGCATGCATGTTTTTGGAAGCCAGGGAGGGGTTCATGTCTCATGTCTTCCTCAATCATTTTTCATTTTATTCTTTGAGATATCATCTCACTTTGAACCCAATGCTCGTTAGACTGACTAGAACAGCCAGTCAGCCTGCCCCAGAGGCTCTTGTGTCTCTGAGTCTCTTGTGTTTCTTAGGATAACAAACACACCACCCATCAAAACATAAAAAGAACACAAATGTCCATCAGTGGATAAACAAATGCCAGTATGGAAGAGTACATACATCATTTCATTCCCAGGATCCATTCAAAAGAACAGCTCGGATCAATGGCTACCAGGGCCTGGGAGAATCTATTTATTGAGACCACTATCTGCTTCTGAGCCTAATAAAAGCTATGGTTGCACAACATGCTGAATGTGTCCAACATAACTGCTTCATAATAAGGTGATGACAAATTTGAACTCAATAAAAACATTGAAAGCTATAAAATCAGACTTTCCCTTCACCTAGCATGACACCCGATCCCTATGGAGCCAGGGCCATTCTACAAACACAGACTAAGTTGTATGTAGGAGACACATCGTCCAGTTACCCAGGCTACCCAGATAAAGCTCACAACAGTAAAGACAAGTCGTTTCTGGAAACAGAACACTTATTTCACACACCAAAGGCACAGGGGTTAGGGCCGCGCTCTCTGCTCTATGGCCATCTCTCAAGAGTGATCACATGATCACGTGACTATGTCTCTTCCTTCTCCACCAGTCACACAGACTAGCACCGCCTCTTCCCACGCAGAAAGAGAGGTGTCTTAGAGAGGTGTCTTCCAACAGGACGCGCCTCAGAGCACTGACTAGGCACCCGACCCTCCGGAGAGATTACCTTAAGCAATCTAATGGCGGTCACCCAGCACATCCTGCTCTGTTCTTCCTCCGCACAGAGCATTTTCAGGTCCCGGGGCCCTCCTGCTTTGTTAGGCTAGAAGGCCACAGCACATGGTTTATTGTTAATGCAAATCTTGAAGGTAACACCTGTTGAAATAAAAGTCACTAAAATTCTCCTAGTCATAAGAGAACTCTGTCTTTTAAAAAAAAAAAAAAAAGAAAGAAAGAAAGAAAAAGAAAAGAAAGAAACCAAAAGACGCCCAAGCTTACCTAAAAAACTGAGGCTTGCTTTAACCATCTACCAAAACATTAAACCTGTACCTTAAAGCAGAATCCATAGGCAGTCGGAGCTCCGTGCTTTTTTTTGCCTGCCAGTGACATGTAAACATTACTAGTGCTGAATTCGCTGAAGAACTGCAAATGTCGTGGTTCCTTTAAGAAACATACATGTGAATGTTGAAATAGATGTGTAGTTTCACAATATCTTCTGTACTTTTCCTATTACACGATTTATAACTTGGCCAAGAGAAAGTCACCTCAAATAATATGCCAGTGCAACGTCATATAAACAAAAGGAAGGGAGTTGCCACTTCCTTAAATAACCAGGAGCTGCAAACAATTTCATTTAAATTGACAAATGGCAATTTGTTCTATTAGCAGACAAATTCCCATTTTAAGTTTCCTAGTCTCCTTAATCGTTAACCATTGTATCAAGCTAACAGAGAAAAGAGAAAACCTCGCAGGCTTTTAAAAGTGTTTCCTGAATCTCGGAGGTTCTACTACAGGAGGAAACTTGGCTTCTTGAGAAGAAAATGGGGAAAGAAAAAGAAAACCTCTGCTTCTTGCAGACAGAACCATCCCTCACATCCATGTGCTGTCTGGCAGCGGGCTGTGGCCATCTTGTTCCACAAAAGGAAAAGGAGTCTGCACAGACGAGCTGAGGGAAATTACCTGGGATGGAATGTGTCTGACTGTCAGGGCAAGGGGAAATCGTGAGCGGCTATTTCTCCTCTGGAAAATCCGAGAGATTTGAGCTGGCCATGGGAAATCACTAGGTCACATCATCCCGCGATAGGTTAATAACTTGGAGAAGTGCTTAATTCTGAGGTGGACTCAATAATCAAAACTGGCCGGAATGCGTTTGTTCTCCAGAACCTTGCTACTAGTGGCGTGGTCACTGAACCCCAGAACCTGTTCCACCTGGGAGCTTGTTAGAAATGTAAAATTCCAGGGCCCATGTGGGGCCCGCTGAATCAGTATCTGCATTTTAACAAGATCCCAGGTGGTCGTGTATGCACAGTGTTTAGCAACAGCGCGCGCACAAACACCAAATACATTTAGCAGTGTGAACTGGAATACATTTCATTGTCATTTCCCAGTAAGCTATCCCAGCTCAAAAGATGTCATTGTGTATCACTATTCCTAAGCATTTGGATCTAAAAAGTGTACTTCTTCGGAGAATAAAGCAGAAATTTTTAATTGTTTATTTATTTATTTTGGCTTTTAAAACGGTCTCTCTATGTAGTCCTGGTTATTCTGGAACTCACTATATAGTCCAGGCTGGCCTTGAACTTACTAAGATCCTCTCAAAGTTTTAGAATTAAAGGCATGTACCACCATACCGGGACTGAAAATATTTTTTGGAAGAAAACCTTTATTACTGAATAATATCTTTGTACACTGTGAAGATGTACAAATTGAACTGAATTGATTTAACAAAAAGCTGAATGACCAAATAGTTAGACAGGATTTCCAGGCACAGAGGATGCTGTAACAAGATTGTAGGAGATGCCAGAGATGCAGAAGAAGCAACATTGGCTTTACAAAGTAAGGGTAACCAAGTCACATAAAAGATTGTAGATTAAAAGACATGGCTTAATTTAAACTAAAAGAACTAGTTAGAAACAAGCCTAAGCTATCAGCCAACTATCATAATTCATAATAAGTCTTCATTTGGTTGTCTGGGTTCTGGCAGGTGGGACAGAAAAGACTTGCTATAAATCTTCTTTAATAAAAAATAAACTAAAATGAGGAATTGAAATAGAAAGGTTTTCTTACTGTTGTGATACTTTGGAATATATATATATATATATATATATTATCATTGACAGAACCTAATTTGATAATAAAATACATATTAAGAGGCTATGTAGATTCAGTTCTCAAAATATATTGGTATGCTTATGTAAGGAAAAGGAAGGAAAGACGGTACTTAGGGCTTTCACTAACATGTAATTCACAGCCATATCGCCAAGTCTTATGATAATGATTAGTAAGTCCCATGCAATCTTCCTTGGAAGTGAAAGTATTCAAACAAGACACCCCCACAAGAAAAATAAGGAACGAAAATGAGAAACATTCTCTTTACTAGGTAGACATGCCATGTAGCACATCAGATAACATAAATATTAAGGTCTACAAAACTGAAGTTCTCTTATTTTCATAGATTGTTTTAAGTTGGTGAATTCAGAATTTTCTTCATAAGTAAATTACATTATCGGGTGTGTGTGTGTGTGTGTGTGTGTGTGTGTGTGCTTATGGAGTGGAGGTTTCAAAGGAAAACTTGTGGGAGTCAGTTCTCTCCTTCCAACATGTGAGTTCAAACAACCTTGAACTCAGTTTGCTAGGTTTAGCAGTGAATGCCTTTACTCACTGAGCTATTATTGCCTGCCTCATATGTAGATTAGAAGAATATTATGATGTCAATTGACAACCAACATTTAAAGTATTATTACCCCAAGTCTTATAATAGGTATTTTGGGGTTTTTTTTGCCTGCTTCTGGAGACCAGTTGTATAAACTGACGTAGGGGCTGGAGAGATGCCTCAGTGGTTGAGAGTATTTACCGCTCTTGTAGAAGGCCTGGGTTCATTCCCAGCTCCTAAGTGACAGCACACAACTGCCTCTAACTCCAGTTTCAGGCTCTTCTTCTGACCACCCCAGGGTCCTGCGTGCATGTGGTGCACAGACATACACTCAGGCACACAGCACAATGCGCGTATAAAAAAAATGAATATTTTTTTTGAAAAGAAAAACTGAAAATTCTATTAGGTTTCGAAATCGGAAACCTCCGATGAGTAAGAAGAAGCAGAAAATTGGTTTGTAGTGGAAGGAAATGATGCCTTTGATATGGGAATAAGAGCAACCAGGCTCCATAAATGCTACAGAACAGATAAAATCAGTATAAAGTAAGTTCAAAGACTTTTAATAAGTATTATAGCAGATGACTAGGATTCAGATAAATTTCCAACTCTGGATATCAACTAAGAAAGAAATTGCCATAACGAAGTCAGACTTGATATCGTAGAGCTAATAGATAGCTCAGAACATACCCCAGACACTGGCTTACCTTTGATGTACCTTTAGTAGAAAAATATAAACCAGATCTTCTCAGGAAAAAGTAAACTTTTTTCCAAGACTTCTTTCCTTGTTCTTTTGCATGTAGAAAGCCATGGATTTCGGGATATGTGCTTGAACTTAAAAACATCTGGAAAACACATTAGATGCATTCATAATCTTATGGGGACAATGATGCCAATAGTCTTTTACCTGTCAGACTCGAGCACACAAAATTAAACTGCATCAATAGTGCTTCTTCGGTACAGAGATTACAATGCATGCTTGGTAGAACTCTATCAATAACCTGGCCCAAGTTCCACATTAAGGGCCTTCAATAAATATATGGTCCAAGTAATCAATAAATGGATAAAAACCCAAATCACAAATTATTTGAATTTCTATAAAAAAAGTCTGGGGAATTATGTCCTGATACTTTTATCTTATCTACCCATAGATTCCCAAGCAACTATTTTGCCTATAAAAGATATTGTGCAATGCAGTATACTGTAGGACCACTATCCTAACTTCACTTTTTACTCAGACAGCTGAGACAAACCTAGTGAGGATAGAGCATGCAATCTCTCTTTGTCTTCTGCCATTTTAGGTGGGCAAGGCAAGGTAGGGTTTTAAAGAGAATTTAACAGCATCTTCTAGCCCACATTCTCGTCCACAACACAATCTTCACATTGAATCATGAAGAGGTGGCATCTGTTTTTCACCCTCCGAATCTTCATCAACCTGTCACCCTTAGATTTTGTTTGGGGTAACACTCCAATTCTAGGCAAAGGGCAGGTTTGATGGCTTCCATGAATTGATTCATTGAAACCAGCTGTCAGAAAAAAAAAAAAAAAAAGGTGGGTGACCTGAGACCCCCATGAGCAAGAAGTCTAATGAAAGTGGGAATGAGACACCATGGGGAGAGACAGAGTGAAAAGTCGGCTTTGAAGGGGATGCTCCGCCTCTAGCCACTGAGCCAAACAGCTGCAGAACTGAGCCAGCCAGCAAACTCTTACCCAGCTCATGACTGGTAAAATGTGAGCAGGTACTTTAAGCCATTCAGATTTGGACCAGTTTGTTACAAAGCAGTAATTAGTTGAGGCAGTGGGCATGTGAGGCTGGGGAAAAGGCAAAGAAGAGCCGTGAGTGGCTATGCTGTGTCCTTATTAAGACAGTGAAAATGCATTAGCGACTCCTAAACGGAAACAGAAATCCCTATGAGTACACAGAGGCAAAAATGGGAAAATTTAAAATAGCAGAAATCATTAACTGAAATGGCGTAATATACCCTAAAGGCCTGGAATACATTCAGGGAAATGCTGATAGGAGATATTTACATTTTTAAGTAAATCACTAAAATTTTTTGATGCAATGAGCCATTAATTAATTGATATGCAAAACAGGCAAGTAGGTTTTTTAGTTTGAGTGCTTTCCAAGTTATTAAACCAAACCAATTAAATTTTTAAAGAAGAGTCAGAGGGGTCACGCTAGAAAGAGAAGAAACCTTTTAAAAAGTAGAAACATTGCCTCAGTGGAGAAGAGAGGTCAGGGCATGCGCTGGACTATCTGATTCTGAAGCCTGTGATTTTCCTTTTTATTATAATTTAACATTAAGGCAAAAGAATCATGGGAGAGGACAATTTAGGATACGAGGTGGAAGAAAAACTCATTCCCACCACCACATCACACAAATCAGTGAAGAATCCACAGGCAAAGCTTTGGGGTTCCCCGCTACTACTCCAAGGGGTGATTCCATGAGACCCTGCAGTATGGAAGCTGTTTGTAGAAAAAAAAATAATCGAACAAATATTTATCGAATATCCTTAAGGGTGAAAATAAAACACCCCTATTTAGAAATTCTCAGGAAAGAAACGTGTGCTAAATGCCCCTGCCTAATATATCAAAAGGCAGGCTATAAACACTGGACCAGAGACCATGACCATTAATTGAATTTGTGAAAACCCAGGTTTGGCTTAAACAGCACTAATGAACCTGTGAAAAACAACCTTGGCTGCCAGATCTCTTCATCTCTTGGAAATAACATTGCCCAAACAGTTGACTGTAAAGACAATGCCTGAGGAAATAACCATTCCAAGCCACAGACAGGGTGACAGAAATGAGCCCAGTGGTCAGAAGGTCAACTTTCTGGAGATGCTAAGGATGTTTTAGGATTGATGCATGAGTCTCCCCCACAGCACTGCAAGTGCTGGCTTATGGAATGAATGCATTGCACCCCCTTTCTTTTCGACTCATTTAGCTGCTGTGAATTTTCTCTCAAATACCAGTCGAATGTCTGCAGCTTACAAAGAAGATGCACATTTTTCAACAGATGCACATTTTTAAGTATAAACTACACACAAGTTTTCTTACACAGAAAACATTTTTTAATTTTGAAAATCTTTACCGTCAGGATGGGCAGTGCTAATTTATTATTTAGCAAATGATTTATTCGGGCTTCTTTTTCCTTTTTATCTTCAGGGGAAAATATGAATCTTGCAGGCTACAACATTTCAAAGTCTGGCAAAAATTTAGGAAGCTAGGAAAGCAAGGTTTCCATTTTGGTGTTCTTACATATTTGAAGGAAAACATTTTACCTGCAGCATTTGTGTAGGGGATCTTTCGCCATTGGTCTCCGTTGCAAAAGACACCATGTGCTCTGGAAAGAAATACTGACCAAAGATAGAAGTTAAATCAGTCCCAACCCTCTGCCAGGAATGATGCCATGGTGGCAAAATGTCTTAAAACCAGCATGTCTAAAATTCCCACAAAATGATTTGAAAAATGCCATTCCTGAACCTAAAGAAATAGCTTCTTAAAGAACCCAGGTGGCATTGTGTCTCCAGATCAGCTGACACCCCAATCACACTAATGGAGAAATCCTAGCCCTTGAGTTTATATTGAATTTGTTCTAATCTCTTCCTCCAGTTCCGCAATCACCCTACCAGATACTGGAAGGTCTGACCCATTTCACAAAGTCAAGACGTAAGGGGCAAAGGCTGTGTCAAAAGTCATAGGCCAGAACACAAAACAGCCAGGACTCACCTGGAAAGCTAAAAGGCCACTCATTTCTTCCCACTGTTTCTCCCAACTCGTTTAATCATAAAATTCACCCCAGGAAGTTGTTTAAAATAGAAAGTCCCAGCTCTTCATTTTTGACTTTTCTGATTCAGTAGATTTGGACAGGTCTCGAAGTCTGTGTTTTTAATAAGTCGTGGGACTCCCCGAGGTAAATTTCATGATAGGAAAAGTTTGGAAACATATATTCTACTCTATTTACTTCAAGAGAGGGTTAGTCAACGGCTATCTACTAATACCACGGTGGAAAACTTCTGTGCTGTTGGGGCTGACCTGTGTGTTAGAGATGGTTAACGCCCAGCTTTCTACCCTCACCCCATAGCTACTTTCCTACTCAGCCGTGCTGTGTGAATTTAAAAAAAAAAAAAGCTCCTATAGATTGTCACATTACCCCCAAGTTAAGAACCACTACTCAGATCTAGAAAAATGAGTGTCAAGCTTTATTTAAATAAAAATAAATAAAATGAAAATTGTACTCTAAGCCATATTTCCTTCAATATAACCTTTAAATGAGTGCCTTAATAAAGACTCCCCACAAGAAAATACTTTTCCTTCGAATCTAATTCCATTTTATCGTTATTAGAACTCTCGTTTGCTTTGTCAAAGATCAACCCATTATGTTTCTATTAATAAGTTACAATAAAAGAGAACATAAGGTCTTCCAGGGTTTGGAAATATTCTATTATGGTGTGTATCATATATTTTTCATAAAGGATTGTTTCAATCCAATTATCCAAAACTTAGTATAAAAATACACCAGAGCTGCAGAGACAAAAACAATTTAAAATAATGAGTCCAGAGGCGATTCTGACTTCTCTGAATCCGCAGACTTCATTAGGATGACAAGCATTTACTTTCTTTTAAAGAGAACTGTAATGAACACAGTGTTTACTAGGTAATGTGCTGTTCTTTATCTCATTTCTACTTAGTTCAGAAGTTACTACGCTGAAAATGAAGTAATTTAAAGAAAGAGATATATCAGTCTTAAATATCTGGTAAAGCTACAGTGTTTATAACAATCGCTGATTTAATTTAGAGAATGCCTTACTTCCCATAATTCTATGAAATGTTCTAAACTGTAATGTTCTGGAAGACACTTGGGGACCTATAACAATTCATTTTTCTTTTAAAGCAAATACAGAATTTCTTTGGCTTTGTGTTTTAAAAGGCAGGAGGGATAGGCCACAGAAAGTATCTAACATTGGCTTTCCCAGTAGTTTGCAATTAAATAACCAAATTCACTTCCATTCAGATTTTGTCAAAAATGCTGCAGCATTTTATCTATGAATGAACATGACCAAGCATCACGTGAGCTCACCATGGCTGGGATAAGAAACCAGAGCACAAATCCAAAGTAACCAGCTCTGTCTTACTCCGAATAACGCTCTCCTGCACATAAAGTTTAACTGACTCATTTAATTCTGTCACTGTTAATGGAGAGTTCACTCACCATTGGGTTCTTAAAAAATTCATATTTGGCATAATTTTTCCTAAGATACAGCTTATTGTCTTCTTCCATCCCCCAGTGAGACAGCACTTCAACCACCAACTCATGGTCTTCTATTGTTCTTTCTGTAAGAATGTTTCAATGAGTAGATTGGCAGACCCGGAAACAGCTCAGCAGACAAACATGAAGATGCGCCCAGCTACATCAGCACACAAACATATAGAGTAAATGATGACGCACCCACAATGCATTATTAAACAGCAAGTTTTGTCTAAGTGCTTAAATATCCACACAGGCAAGATTTCTTTTCATCTGAATTATTATATTAACTTTTATGCCAACACAGTCACCTTAAAAGAAAATTACATAAAATATCACAAATGCCATCTCTGCTAATTCTCAGTCTCCTTCTATTGCTATGTAAATTGCAGTATAAGTTTGATGACAAATCTGTCCTAAGACATGAAAGCTATTCTTTCTTTAACTCATCCTGGTGCCAAAATTAAAATATTTGCTCCAGGTTTGAACAATTCACCTCATTAAGAGATGAAGAATTTTGACAGGTTCCCTGTGCATTTTAAGACTCATAATCTAGGTAGCTGAAAAAATTAAAACAGTTGCTTTAAAGGGAAATTTCCACTCATGTGAAGACAATTTTTTTGTGAAGCTCAATTCCTTGTGGCACTTTAGACTCTCAAAACTAATTCAAGGAAAATAGATCCTGTATTAACAAAGAAGATAATTAACTAAGAAGGAAGGTATTTAGTAGAAAAAGAAAAAAATATTAAATGAACCAAGCAGTGGTAACTTTAAAAAAGTCAAACATAACCAGCCTAACATCTATTGTAATGTAAACTGTGAAGGTATCTGTATTTGTATTATTCATAACAGCCCCAAACTGGAGACTACCTATATACCCATATATGGAGACATGAAAATGGTTTTTTAAGAGCACACAACAACTATATTCTACAATAATGCCAAGAAGAAATCTCATAAGTGAAAGAAGACGTATATTGCATGAGTCCTTTCACATAAGGTTTGGCGTGAGGAAAATTCATCCATGTAGCCAGGAGTAATGGAGATGGAAGCTGAGTGGGGAGTGCATGAAGCAACGGAGTGAGGTCACAATTCTGCTCATTCCTGTAGATGTTACTCGGGAACATGTTGTGTATGAAAAGTCACGAAGCTGCTCCCATGGGTTGAACTCACCTTTCTTGGTGCAGCTCATTCTCCCACAAAAAAGTCAGGAAAATTTAATTATGAAATTCCTGATACGGAAGAGAAAGCCTAGAATAGCTAAAAAGGGAATATGAGCTCCTCTGTTCTTTGAATGTTCCTAGGACCTCTTTGAAAAGAAGCAGAGTCTCAGACGTTCAACACTCAGACATGATCTGGGCCACACTATAGGAACCCTTGTAAGCAAATACATGTAAGCAGAAGCCTGTTCTCTAAAAGGAATTCGTCTCAGTGTATATGGATGAGATGCTATAACTGCTCCTGGGCAAGGCAAATTCTTTGTTTCCGTCTCACTGGCTTGTTCCTTTCATTGCTTCCCTTTCTGGCTTTGGCTTTATTCCTTCCTTTCTTCTCTAAATCAAGTGGCTCTTTTTGACACATTCATAGAGTTCCCCAAAGTGAGATCTCTGCCTAAAAGTGTCCTTCCCACTGCTGAGATTCTCCACCTCCTCAAAAAAAAAAAAAATTGCCGACAGCCAAGGTCCACACCATCATTTTTTTTAAAACAGTAGATCAGAATCATCACTAGGTACCACTCCCAATTTCACATCTGGCTCTAAGTCCCGCAGAAATGAAAGTTAAACTTCCAGAAGATATTTGTGCCTAAAGAAGGCAAAAACAATACCATGCCCATGGAGGACACAATTAACGAGACAGAAAATAGATATAGAGCCGGGCGGTGGTGACACAAGCCTTAATACCAGTTCTCGGAAGGCAGAGGCAGGTGGATCTCTGTGAGTTTGAGGCCAACCTGGTCTATAAGAGCTAGTTCCAAGACTGACTCCAAAGCTACAGAGAAACATTGACTTGATAAAACAAAAAAAAAAAAAGAAAAAAGAAAAAGAAAATAGATATAGATAAATGGACATAAAATAGAAAATAAATAAACAAGATAGAAAATCAACCTTAAAATCCATAGATATAGATAAATAGATATAAAATATATAACAAATAAACAAGATAGGAAATCAATCTTAAAAGAAATGAAGGTATGATGTACACTAAACATGATAAACCCTAAAGACTCTGTACTAAATGAAATCAGGCAGAAACAAAAACACTGCCAGGCGGTGGTGGCACACACCTTTAATCTCAGCACTCAGGAGGCAGAGGCAGGCGGATCTCTGTGAGTTCAAGGCCAGCCAGGTCTAGAAGAGCTGGTTCCTGGACAGGCTCCAAAGCTACAGAGAAACCCTGTCTCAAAAAACAACAAAAAAAAGACAAACACGCCATAAAAACCCCTATAAAGGTACCGAAAATGCTCCAATGTAAAGTGACAGAGAAACGAATGGGAGTTTCCAGAGCTGGCAGGAAGGAGAAATAGAGCATTACTGCTTAACTAGAAAAGCGTTTCAGTGTGGGAAGAGCGCATCCTGCAGGCAGGTGCCAGGTCTACAGAGCTTATGTGGCATATACGCCCACTGACCTGCACAGTCACATTGGCTAAGATGCTAAATTTTATTTATGCTATTCTACCACAATTTAATAGTGTGCTTCACTACCTTTACAATTATCTTCCTTTCAAACCTAGAAGTACTTGTTCTTCTTAAAATCTTATTTTCGTGAATGTTAATACCATCTCATTTTGCCATATTCTCTCAAAGAAACGTCAAACTTAAAATCCCTTCAGCACGTTTTTCTGCCTCCCACTCTGTATCCCTTCTTCCTACTATTCCCAGCTGGCCGTTGTGCTCTCTCCACATCCCTCTCAGAAACAACAAACCACCACAGCCCATTCCCGATGCCACCATGCCAATGGGCCGCCATATTTCCTCACAGAATCTCGTTGCTAGTCCCCAAACCTCCAGTTACTCTCTGTATCTCAGATGCACTGGAATCACAGCAGTCAACCCTCAACCACCGCCCATGAGAATCCTGCCAAAATATACTTATCCATTTCTACTTCTCATGACATGAAACTGTAAGACCTGGCAATGACCCCTTATCCATCCATCTATCCATTCGAATTGTCACCAAAGGCCTGCAAGGGTCCGACGCTCCTCTTAGGACCTGGAAGGTTTGAAATGGACAAAACCAGAAAAGAAGGACTGCCCTGGTGAAGCCCCTTATAGAAAAGCACAGACAATAAATAGAATGTGAGCCCTTTAATGATGGCAATAAACTGACAGGAAAGGATGGCGCAGGGAAGACGGAATGTGCTGAGAGCAAGGCAAAGGGTTCATTTCCAGGGGCTTTATGGAGAAGGGCCTGTGGGGAGGGTGAGCTTCCAGCAAAGATGCCAAGACAAAGGCCAGAGCCAAGCACACACTGAGGAGTAAGAAGGCAGCGTCCGGGGTGAGGGTGAGGCTGCGATGTTTGATGCACAGCATGGCAGTGGGCATAAGTAATGTTGAGTGAGTGACAGGACAGAATCAGAAGAAGAGATTCTAGAGGCGTAGAGAGAGGGGTGTTGAACTCCACCCTCCAGGGTAAGGACTGATGGGAGTCAGTATAATGAACAGAGGAACAACGTGAAATAACAGGTTTGGACTGTTAGAGCTGCATCATACTCGCCGTGGAGTGTAGAGCAGATTTTTAACAGTTCCAAGGACTGAAAACATGAAGTCCACTTAGGAAGTTGATTGGAGTTAACCCGGGCAGGCTAGATTCGATGATTGAGATTAGATTGACATAGTAGCTGTGGGCTTTGTAAAAGGTGGGAAGAATCCGGGTGCATCTGAAGGTCTAAGAAGTGGGAATGGAGGAAAGACTCCAAATGTGTGCGTAAAAAGGCCAAGTGGTGGAAGACACTGCGGGTCTTGGTCTAAGCTTGGAAGGACTGCAATTAGTACGAAAGAACTGGGAAGACTGAGACCAAGCTAGTGAGGCCAAGAGATCAATGGACTACAGCGCAGAGTGCCATTTTAGCAGAACCTGAGCACTAACTTCTGTTTATCTTCCCACAAATCTAGCTCATGCTTCGAAGCTAAAATGGGTACACATGCTGCACACGGAGCTGCACCCATATTCTTTGCAGCCACCGAGAGAAGAAATAATGATAGCTGTTTCCTGGCTTTAGTTACCTGTGTTTCTTTGTACAGTTGCCTGTCTCTAACAATAAGGAAGGAGTTTATGCCCCGCCCTGAAGGTATACCAACACAGAGACAAAGAAGCCACAGACAGCCATTTTCTTGGTGGTTAAACTTCAAGGTATATTTCATCAATCTTGGGCAGATAAAATTGCTTGGGAAGAATCATATCTAGCATGGTCCTCTGCTGCCTCAGACAGGGACCCAACCTTTTCTGAAAAGGGAGTTACAGGTAAGGGAATAATGAAGGGGAGAGAGAGTCAAGTCAGACCCTGGGTCATGAAGGAACCAAGGACTCTATCTGCTCCCCTTCAGGAAGAGAAGGACTTTCAGGGTGCCATGGTTCCTATAAGCTGTAATGTGAGGAGTGGCTAAAACCATAGACTTAATTTTTTAATCCTTAAGAACTCATGCATCAAACAGAAGCAGATGTTGGTGGCAATGCCAACCTCACAGCATGCCAGGATGAGTGTTATGTCCCCAGAAGGAAGATGGGAGAGCATCTGAAAATTGAAAGAAAGAAAGAAAGAAAGAAAGAAAGAAAGAAAGAAAGAAAGAAAGGAAAAAAAAGAAACAAAGAAGAAAGACCCTAAGTTTGAAAGGCCTGTGCTGTCCATAAAGGAAGAATGAGAGAAGCAGGAGCTTCCGGAACATGGAGAAGACAGTGACACAAGGATAAGACAAATACCTTGGCTGAAAACGATGTGTCCCACCAGAATGCTGGGAAGGTAAAAGGGGTCTCAATGGTCGAATATAAACATTTCAAACCAAAGGCAGCTTACCACAGAACTTGAATTATTGACCCCAACAGAACAATCTGGACTCCGAGCAAATACCATGAGGTTAAATTCTCTGTT